TATTTTATATAAAAAATTATTTTATCTTTCTACAATTTTTTCTCAGATTTGTACTCATGTGTGAATTTTGCTCTTATCCATATTTTATATATTAATATCAATAAATATTTTCTCTGTTCTGTCTTGGATGTTTAAATATTTTTTATTATGAAAATATTTGTGTATCTTATTCTCCTGTTACATTAATTATCTTTCTAATCTTTCATAAAGCTATACTCATCAAAACATTGCTTGTTTATACATACATCGATAATAAACACTTTGCTAGAATATACTGTTTTTGTTTACTAAATTTAATATAAGTATAAATACAATGAATCAAAAACAATTTTAATATTCTCTGCGATATTAAAAAAGATTTTTAAAAATATGCTATTTTATTTTTGAATATATTTTTTACAATGCTTAGTAATAATTCTCGAAGGAACTATATTACATCAAACATAGTTTCGCTTTCATTTCCTTCGTGAAACTTGTTCGAAATAAAAAAACGATTTGTCTTATTATATAAAATACCAATTTTGATGTTAAACATAATGAAAATAAAAAAATGTATTATATAACATAGTTATAACATAGTAATAACAGATAATAGATAAGGCAATATTGACGTAATAACACGACGATTACAGCACATCGTATTCTCGTTCATCTTCATTGTTCCATCTCATTTGATGCGTTCGAAACATTAGATTTCTAAATATCTCTATTCTAAATATTAAGTTGCAAAATGTCCATCGATACATACAACAAAGTCACGCATTGCATTTTCGATATGGATGGTTTGTTGCTCGGTAAGTATCGAGACAGATCAGATACACTTCTGACCATTCGATTCAAAATTAATTTGTATCACATTTTATTTTAGATACAGAACATCTGTACACCAAGGCCTTCAATCGTATCGCTAATCGTTATGGTAAAGAGTTCACGTGGGAGCACAAGGCGCAAACAATGGGTTTTAAGACCAAAGACATTGCTGACTATATAATTAAGACATTAGAATTACCGTTAACAAAGGATGAATTCAAGGAGGAGATTGTTGGACTCTATCAGGGATTGTTTCCTCATACCAATCCCATGCCAGGTAATCCCATACAGGTTCTGTACTAAGATATATCAGATGTATTCATAATTTAATTCTGATTGAATTATTAAACAATTTGTATAACAGGCGTCGTTAGGTTATTGAAGCACCTGAAAGAAAATAATATTCCGATTGCGCTAGCCACGAGCTCGGACCGAAAAAACTATGAATTGAAAACCAGTCGCTGGCACGATCTCTTCGAATTCTTTCATCACAAAGTACTCGGCGGTTCGGATCCTGAAGTCGTGCACGGAAAACCGGAACCTGACATATTTATCATAGCTGCCAAGCGTTTCCCTGACAATCCGAATCCTTTGAAGGTAACATAATAATTTGGATCGTTAAAAAGACAGTCATTTAATTGTCAATATATGTAAAATATTTTTTATTAGGCTTCATTTGAACTATATTTAAAGACCAAAAATAATTGAAATCTAAGAGTCAATTAATTATTTTACAGTGTTTAAGATTATAAATTTCTTTTTAGTGTTTGGTTTTCGAAGATGCGCCGAATGGCGTGAAAGCGGCACTTAAAGCCGGAATGCAGGTTGTTATGGTGCCTGACCCGATGCTTCCCAAACGTTATACGACCGAAGCGACTCTAGTCTTAGATAGTCTGGAGAAGTTTGAACCGGAAAAGTTTGGACTACCTCCATATAAAATATAATACAACTTTCTCTGAATTTCTCGCATATAAGATTCGTGAATAAGATGTACATGCACGGAATTATCTCGTAAAGGACAATTTAATTTGTAAGATTTTCTTAGATAGTAGTAGTAGTAGTAGTAATCTTTTTGATTTTTATCTTATTTCTTTGATTGATTTAATTGATTAATGTTTCTCCTTTAAACTTCTTTATCTGTGTCGTCGGATATATCCCCTAGTTCGTCAAAATCCTCCCACGTACCATGATTGACAAACATTTCCGAAGAATTAGCATTGGCACTGTTAAATATTCCTGTGATATTTACACATGAAAATTTATTTCGTTTCAATTGCCTGTCAATTGCTTCTTTTAGTGTGTTGTATGCAGCTATCATATCCCGTGAACATTGAGACAATAGATCTGTAAAAAAAATTAAAAAATTCAATTTTTACGTTTTTTTAGGTATTGTAACGTAAAATGCGATAAAAGATTTATTACGTTTGTAAGCTGGTTGAGTAATGTCGAACATTTTATGATAATAGTACAATTGATTGTACAGATCTGTTCCAGAATACTGAAAAAGAAACATACAAAAGTGTATATTAATATTGTACAGCCTCAAAGTATATAAGTATAAAAATATACGAAATTGATTTAGTAAACATACAATTGATTTAGTAAACTTACAACTCGATTCATAGAAACGTCCTTGCACATTGAACAATCTGGAAATTTCTTCGCGAAATCCAACGGTAGTCGTCTTGTTCTGTTGGAACAAAGTGGATTTTCGCATTCCAACCAACTATTGTAGTATTTGGTAATTGCTTTTCTCATGGCAAGTTGAACTACATTTTGTATCACATTTGCGTATTTCCAAGGTGGTAATTTACAATCTTGATTAGGGCACATGCTAAGTGATAACTGTCGACCAGAATGCTGCAGAAAATAATATACATAAATATGTAAAATATAATTCTCATAAAAAATATCAATTTAATTAAAAGATATATATATTATAGAAATCTTGAAATTATATAAAACACAAAGAATCAATGAAAAAAAACACACTTACAAATTCTGTAACAGTATCCTTAATAATTATTTCTGTATTACATCGTTCATTTTTGCATTTAAATGTCAAAGGAAGACAATTGTTGAACCTATCATCATTAATAGCTAGCGGTAAGTTTAGGGTTGCCTCGCAAGATATCATCTTAGGTTTATAAACAAATTGTAAACCTAATGAACAAATTGACATGTAAAATATAATGCATTATTTCATTTCTACTTACAAAAACTTTGAAATACCTAAATTGTTAGCTAAGAAAACATCGTCAATACCCTCGATTGGTTCACAAATTCGTAACACTACAGGAAATATTTGACTTAGTAGATAGTAATTGACATCCACCTTTAATTTCTCATTATTCTTTACTTCGTCAATGTGATATGCCCGTTCCGTCATACTTGCATTGGTTCCATCCTAATATTAAAATAATCTTTCTTCATGTTTATCTTTTTATCGATTTTCATTTCTATAATTCAGAAAATTTACTAATTAAAATTATGAAAATAAAAAGAAACCTCGCATATAACGTATGGCAGGGTGTCACCAGCTTTCCACATCCGACCACCCGCTTTGTTTAGTCTAAGTGCCACCATAACATGAGATAATTGTTTTTTATCTGGATATGCATCTGGATTTTTCGACAATTGTTTAGTGATAACAAATGACGACAGTGGCGTCGTTCCTTCCTTTACACTTTTCGCAACATTTTGTAAAATCTGCACGACTTGTTCCAAACGCGTTTCGCTTGACTGATCGCAGAGAAGTATATCCAAAATTTTTCTAAAAGAATAAATAATTTAAGTAAATTTAAATGAAATTAATCGCTGAAAATATCGAATGTATTTGCTAACTTTCCAGTGTCGCAAGCTAATGGACACCAATCTCTTCTGACGATATCCAAACCCTTGTGTTCCTGCGTCAATTGTATTTTACCATCTATTTTCGACATCATAACAGCGGCGTATTTCTTCTTTTGTAATAGCAATAGATATCGAAATACCCCGTCGATATCTAATTCGACTTTCTTATATCGGTTGTTGACTTCGCGCATAATCTAAAAAATATTTAATTCTATAATTGCTAATGATATCTCTGCATGATGTAAATACAAAATGTATTACGAATTATAATACAAATCAAATGATGGAATATTTCTCATTTTTCTCACTTTTTTACCGATCAAGAAAACGTCGTCGTATTCCAAAATATTGGTGTTTATCATTAAAGAATCGGTGTCGCCATAAATTACTTCGTATTGCAGTTTCTCAACTAAGTGCTTCGTATTTTCCAGAATCTCTCGACCCTTGGCTGAAGAATCATTAATATTTTACATTATCATGTATTTTAAATTTCTATTACATATTTTACCTGTTATCAGAGCAGCGAGACCTTTAGCATAAAATCGACAATGAGTCGCTCCTAAACATCCATACATAGAATTAGCCGTGAGCTTCAATGCCATTTGCCTGATATGATAATCCATTTTCTGTGCTGATGATAAATTCTTTTGCGTTTTCATAAGCTGTTTGATCTGCTGCCTACTTTTGACTAACTTATGAATCTCTGTCGGAACCACACCTGGCTCCAGATTTGACGCAGGAATAGTTAATTGCTGCATCGTGAAAATTTTAATATAATTAATTTAATTAAAAAAAAAAAGTCTTAATATATATATATAAATATTTGCTATTCAATGTTTGAATACCTCGACGTCAGTATATGCCGCACCGGGCACGGTGGTAAAACATAAATTGTATTCCTGTATAATACTCGGATATAGGGAATTGAAATCCATCAGAAGTACCAGTTTATCGTAAAAACCTTTCTTCGGATCAAGTACTAGACCTCCAGTGTACGCCGCAGCCTTCCTACGCGGACCATCTAGTAAATATCTGGTATTAGTATGCCAAGCATAAATATTATAATAATTTCGTAATAACAATGTAACAAACATATATAAAGATCTTACCATCCTTCTGCTTCTTTTCAATTTTTTTATCCGGCGTTATGTAATCTTTCAAATTAAAAGCATGCAGCAACAGATACTCATTCCTTTCCGCTCTTCCGCCTAATAGCGTCCTCGATAAAATATTGCCTATATTCATTCAATTATTAATAAAAAAACTAATTGTAATTAATATATTTTATTAAGAACAAAAAAATCTTATAATATACCTGCTAAACAAGTAATTTGAAGTGCGAGTGGTATAACGTTGAGATCCATCACTATAGTTATAATGTATCTTGCTTCTTTTAATGTTACATGCATTAAATTTAACACTTTATCCACTGTATTGAAAAATAATGGAGTTTCCGCTGGCGTAATCTCTTTATATTCATGTTCCTTCGTCTTCAATACCTAAATATTTGTCAAAATTGTTTGATCATATGAAACAATACAGTATCAATGTGTCGAATATGACTTACTGCGCTGCAAAGTGATTGCAAATCATAACTCCTGACTTTTAAGTTCAATTCTTTTGCCGAAACTTGTATATCACAAATTGGACGACCGACAAACGCTTGATTAAGGATTATTTTTCCCTGTATAAATATTACTCGTCATCTTGTGTTAGAAAAACTATCTTCATATATTCATATATACTCCAATTACATAAATATAGTTTTAGTATACTATGTAAACGTATTAATTGTACTATTTCAATTTTTATTTATTGAAAAGAGATAAGATATATTTTACCCTAAGTAAGGGAGGAGTCGATGATTTTAATCTTCCCATTCTGTTCCAATTAGACACTTTTGATGTAAACATTCTCTGCATTAAAACATCGAATTGAAATGCACAGTCGTAGCCTATTATTAAATCAGGATCCACTTTCTGCATTAAAGTTAACAACTCTTCGAGTAAATCACTTTCAGTTTCACATTTTATTACTTTGGTATTCGGAACTTTCAGGAAGGCATCATGAATTTGCCGTGGCCAGGGGATATCTCGTGGACGTGTGACAACTGTAAAAAGTTAATATTTAAAATTAATATTTAGTCTTCATTAATGTCTTAATAAAACGAATAAAGAAATATCTACGATTTAAAGATAAATAAATGTCTTACTTTCTGTCAAGAATAAAAATTTTTTTTTCTGTATTTAAATTATGAAACAATATTACATTCTAAAATATCAATTTAATTATTAAAAAAAATGAAGGAAATAATTAGTAAATAATGTAATGCAAAAATAAACTTACAACAAAATTGACGTTCATAAGGCGGTTTTGGTGGTTCCTTATCAACATTGTACTTATGATGAATTAATACAACAACCATCACTACTTCATTCTGCAATTTCGCGTTCAAAGACATCCTCACATTTATAGTCGCTATCACCATAGGGGGCTTAGCTTTCTCTTGGGAACACAGCGATATATTATCCATGTCTGAAGTAACAACCTGTTGCATTATAGTATAAATATATTGAATTTATTTTTTATTGTTGTAACATGATATATACATATATGTTTACATACAATCTGTGGGCACCAAGCAAATCGCCCTGCAGTGGGCGATATATTCTTAACGTCTAACCAGCAAGGTCCCTTAATTTTTCGTTCTATAAGCAATAGCTCTAATGCATTCACTGTTGTGCCAAAGACGTGTTCTATCGCTAGACCCGAGTAATTCGAATTGATTGCTGGATAGCGTGCAGCGTATCTGACTTCCAAGTAATCTGAAGTTTTCGGTGTACCCTCCTTTTCAAAGGAATAATGCTTCTTCACTTCTTTACAATTGAACTCCATTATACGCATTTTATTGGCGTACTCATCGAACTCTTTATATACATCTTCCATGGTAGTTAATTGTGATTCAGTGTTTTTTATCTACAATTCATAACCGTAAAAAAATATTCTTTAGTAATAATTTAATAATTACAAAATATATATATATCCAAATATTGAATAAGACTAGAAACAAAAATACAACAATGGAAAATATACATACATATTTTCTGGGCAAGAGATATATTCTCCTTGGTATACAATGCACCATAACACAACATGAACAATATGTATCATGACTAGATACATAAGTTTTGCCGAAGAGATACACAGTTCCAGGATTCTTGTAAGGATTTTCATATGCATCCAGATAGTAGAACCTAAATACTTCTTCCTCATCTTTTGTCTTGACTAGTTGTGGCGCTATTTCTGTTAAGTCAATGGCATTACCGATTTTTATACTTTTGACAGAAGTTTTATGAGCAGGAGTCTTTACACCTATTTCAGGAGTTTTTACATCTATTTTTTGAGATTTAACATTATTTATCGACGATGAAAAGTCAGTATCCATCATACTTCCATCATCAAAATCTATTGTGGATAGCTGTAATATATTTTATATGTAGTTTCACTTTAATATAAATAATAAAATAAGATAATAAAACAACTCACATCTCCAACACATTCATTAAGATCCACTATAGGGGTATTTTCTTCCTCAATAATCTGACTTGCACTTTGTTTATTAGATTCAATTAATTTTTTTGTGCTTTGATCTTCTGTCTTTGAATTTTCTTCAACTTTTGAATAATTATTTAATTCTACTGATTTACTTATGCTCTTCTTCTGTGGCGCATCAAATAATGCCATATCATCATCATCCTCAATTATCTGACTTTCACTTTGTGCAGTATTATTAAAATTTGATACAATTAACTCTGGTTTTTCAGGTATTATTTTATCAGCTTCTTTTTGGTTCATAGATAAGGTCTGATATGTATTTCTATAATAAATAACTATAATTAAGTTTTACAAAGTATAAAATAACATAGTATAAATAGAATTCATTAACTTACGTAATGTTAGAATGAACTGTATGACAAAATTTATTTCTATTGCTTCCTGGTTTAGGACTACTTGTAGTCTTTTTATTGGTAGAAATCTCACTGAGTAATTCTCCCAAAATATCATCATCTTTAATCTGAACTACATTAACATCTTTCTTAGAAGGCATATTCCTAATCATACTTTGAATATCTCCTTTCTTCTTGTTCTCTTCTTTCTTTCTTTTTCTAGGGCCAGCCATGCTATTCTTCTGTTTTCTCGCTTCCCGTATGCTTTCTTCATCCAGATCATCATCAAAAATTTCCCTTCCATCTTCGACATACCCACTTTCTCCTTCAATATTTTAATTCAAGTTTAATAAATATATTTTTTATATCTATATCTTTTTATATTTCTTTGATGTAGCAACTTAGATATATTTTATAAAATATTTTTCAAGCATGTCACTTTTTAAATATATTTAAATGATGTTTAAATGATAAAATATTTTTAAATAACAAATATATAGAAACTCTTTTACTTACCATCATCAATTATCCAATCATCTCGTTGACGTTTTAAAACAGTATTACTATATTCTTTCTCATCTACTTCATCATAAACATTTTCTAGCTCTTCAACTTCGTACTTGCGCTTGTTACCACTTCGAGCTTCCTTCAATCTTTCCAGAGCCGAGAGCCTGCCAGTCTTATCAATCTTCTGACGCCTGGATCTGCCAGACGTAGATGCTAAAACATTATTCAGTAAAGTAAAACTGCAGTAGTTATTTTAATTATATATGACACGAGTGTGAGATATAATACAATACATCCTACTGTACTATGTGATTATCCATAGAAAAATTATTCTTTCAACAATTATAAGAATACAATTACCATTTACTGAATTATCAAGAATATACATTATAAACACTTGAAGTCTATTTTCTATGAGCTGAAATAGTATATACTTTTAGAATTTAAAATAAAATAAATATGTTTCAGGCAAATAATATTTGGTGAAAGCGAAAAAGAGATTTGTAGTGCAATCTAGTACAGGAATAAAAACAGACCTATATATGTAAACAAAAGGTATGGCAGATTTGGATTGAAAATTTAGAGACATTCACGAGTACATGTAATAATACATGTAATAATAACACTTATCACGACGTGATGCTCAAAAATTGTACTCGGTGAGACTTACCCTGCGAATCGTCCATTATATTTTTTTCGTAAACACGAGCACTTCCGCGGCATTACACTTCATGATAGTTCCACAAGTTTTGGCGGGAAATAAATCTCCCAGCGAAAGAAATATCGCGATATCTCGGGATATTCGATTTAATTCGAGAAGAGTAGAATATTTATTTCATTGGTCAATTCCTAGTAAATTTGTTCACGTTGGTAATTTTTACCTCATTTACAAGATACAATCGATCTCCAGAATGATTTGAGAAATTTTAATAATTTTAATAAAGCACGTATTTCCTGAAAAAGCGGAAGATAGATATTATTATAGATAAATAATCAGAAATTGATCTTACAATTAGAATTAAGATAATTTTTAATATTCTATATAAAATGAATGAATGTCGCCCTACAGCATTATTTTTATATGTCTCGCTCTATTTAGGCTGCGTTCGCGTAATACTCGCAATGCTCATAAACATCGTTTTGTTCTTGTTTAATATTTGACAAACAACAAAGATAAAATGATTCCATGAGCGTTGCGTTAAATAGAACGCACCTTTATATTATTGTTTATGGTTTTTACATGATTCTTGAGATTCACATCGCGAAGTTAGGAATGTTGCAAGGTTGCAAGGTTGCACTACTGCATCGTACAGTTTGAAAATTCGCGCATTGCAACAATGGTTGTTCATTGGGATGTAAATGCCTTTGAGGAGGAGATATCGCACAACAATAAAAAACACGGAGAAAAATTCACAAGTAGCAAAATGGACAGCAGAATATTTTTCTCAAGGTATTATTGCTACATATATTATTGCTACAAATCTCCCGAAATTCATAACCTCGCTGGACGATAAACGGTTACAGGATATAAAAAAAAACTTCTAGAGCTTAGATTTTTGCATTAATGTCTATTTCTACTAATATAGTTTAATTTTAATCTTGATTCAATTAACTCTAAATCTCTAATTCTAAGAATTAGAAAATATGAAGAGCACACATTTAAACAAGATTAAAATTAATTTATTGGTAGAAACGGTTAGGCTTAAATAGATTACTTCTGCATAATTGTACGATTGGTTTCCTTTCCATCTCTTTTGTGTTTGCACTGCTTTACATTGTGATAATCACTTTAATGTAATTACAGACATTCTATCAGTTTTCTATGTAAACCAAGACCCCGTAGACCATTAGAAGGATATGTGCGTCGTTCGAGTTCTGTACAATATGAACCATGGAAAATGCAAAATTTTCATAAGGTGACAATTGATAATATTTTGTAGAATTAGATCCATTCGATTGCGAAATACTATTAGGATAATATGATGTAAAATAATTGTTTTAATTTATCGATTGAAAATGCGTTATACACAAGTGCACAGATTTAAAACGATTTTACAGAGCAAAGTTGGCATATAATATATGACTGGTTTTTAATCAATGAATTAAAAAATTTGTGTATTATCTCTAGCTTATCTCTTAAACAGATATCATTTTTAGATTTTTTATCTATTACAGATGTACATGCAACCTGTATCACAAACTAAATGTGAGAAATCTTCTAAAAATAAAGAATCATCAACGGAAAACTCTTTGGTAAAATCTAGAAAGAATTGTTTGTTATCTCAAATTTACCAAGCTAGAAAAAGATTTTCTAATTTATTACCGATAACTTCTCTGCCTAGAATAATAGTAAGTGTTATCATTGGTATAATTCTAGGACTAATTTTTTTGTATATAACAAAAAAAAGTACAAATGGAAAAAAAACATAATTTAAGTCGATTGTTTGCACAAGTCAAAAATTATGAAGCAGAATATTATAGTCAAAGTTTAATCGACAAATTTATTGCACATTTATAGCAATTTTTTTTTGTATCATATTTTGTCTAATTTATGTCAGCCATAGTTATTATTTTTTTACTAATAATTATAATTGCTTGATATTCTTTTTCTTAAAATGAAAACTAATTACAAAATAATTACAAAATGATGAAAATGTCAAATTAGAAATTTAAATTTTTTTTCATCTATATCAATTATATTTATATGATTATGTAAATAATTATTATAAGTGCAAGAGAAAGTTATCAAATTTCTCAATTTAAGAGAATATAAAATCTAGTAATAATAATAATAAACTCTGTTAATATTTGTTATTATTTATTGTTGAT